AGATGACACTGCCCCCGGTTTGGGTAGGTCTCTGTCCGTGGCTCCAGATGGTACCACTGGTCATTCCAGCAGTGCAGGTCCTGCAGGAGCAGAAACAAAGGTGAAGCCCCAGGCAGCCTTCCCGGGGGAAGGATTCCAATCCAGGATGAAGTCCCACTGTGTTAATAGGGTGGAAAGATGTTGTATAGGTTAACACTAATATTGGATTAAAACTAAATGATATATCATTACTGAGTGAGTGTGTTGGTGGCCAGGGCACCTGCCGCCAAACCAAGGGACCTGGCATCAGTTTGTGGCTCTAAGATGGGATCCTGGGTGTGCTTGGTGCAGCCACAGGGTTGGGATCCTGCCCAGATCCGGGAGGTTTAAAGGAGCACCTGGGGAGTCACTTGGAGCAGAAGATGCACTTCGGTGCTCACCTTTAGGTGAAGGACCACATTCCCCAGGAAATCGTCCTGCCCTTTGTCTTTGCGAGCGTCTTTAAAGATCCTGAAAGCCATGAACAAGGATGTGTGTTACTGTGAAAAGGTATTGGTTAAGGTGAGGAAGGGTGACAGCCCTGCCACCCTCCAGCACTCCTTCCAAAAGCAATTTTTAAAATCCAGCAGGCAAATAAGCATTTTCCCAACCCTCTTCCCTCATCAGCCATTAGGGCCATGCCAGCACCAACCGTTTGAGGCCATGGAGGTCTGTCAGCTCCCCCAGTTTGTGCCGCACTGACTCCACCACGTCTGAGTCCCTGCAGGCAGGGAAACCCAACATGGGGAAAGGAGGAAAGTCAAGCAATTGCAAAACCCTTCAGGGCATTCCAGTGATGGCAGAGGAGAGAGGGTGCTGGGAGGGGGAAATGTGTCGGACTATCTCCCAAAACCAGGTGCCCAGCCAAAATCTGCAAGCATGTGACTTCTTTCCCATAAGTAAAATCAGGGGTCAGGATCAGCCCTGCCTGGGCAAAGCCAACCTGGATACTCTCTGCACACACTGGTCACATCCTGCACTGTGCACTGCTCCAGCAGACAGTGACAGGGAAAGGGGTTCCCAGCTGGTTTCTGGGGCTTTTAAAGGGAGCAGGTTGAAAGACCATCCCAGGGACCCTCCTGGGAGGCAGGACCCTGCTCAGGGTTGGGGGCTGGTGTTGCTGGCCTGAGGGTGGCTGCTGCTCACCACATGTCCAGGTGGAAGCTGGCTGTCTCTGTGTCTTCAAACTCCCTGCAAGGCACCAGTGGGATGCTGTTACTCAAGCAGCATCCAAGGAACTGGTAGAAAGCAGGCAGGACAGTTGGGGATTACAGGCAGGCTAGGGGAGACCCCGAAACCACCCTGCACAGCCTGGGAAAGTGGTGGGAGAGCCCTGAGAGATGGGTTTTGATTTTCACCTCCCTGGATCTGCTATATAGGTCAGAACAGAAGTCTGGCAAGCCCCCGTGGGCATCGCCCTGGGAGAGCCCCAGTTTTTGGTTGGGGTGAGTGGTGAAACCTCCCCCCTTTATCTCCCCAGTAAGCAAAGCCAAGAGATGGCAGATTACAGGATAAATGTCTCATCCCACACCGGGCTGAGAGTCTGGCTTATAACTTGTGTGCGATGGATCTGGTCTTCAGGGATGAGGTCTTTGACCACAGCCTTCATCCGCTTCTTGTGGTCAGGGTTGGCCAGTTCCTGGCTCTTGGTCTTGATGCCCAGCAGGCAGTACGGGTCACTGAATCCTGCGAGGATGGAGGCATGCAAGTCCCCACCTGGAGCAGAGCCTGTCCCTTTTTCAATGGGACACTCACCCATCTCCACTTACCACTGACGTCTTTACCCAAAATTCCCTTTGCTTCCTTCACAGTTGCTTTCAGGCAGAAAACTGGGCTCTGGAAGAGTAAGGGAAAAAAAAGAAAAAAATTAATGGGGGGGTGAGCAACACCATGAGGAAGCAGAGGCTCATGTAGGCCCACACCATCAGCTGCTGTTCAGACCAGCAAACAGCTCCTGAGTGACTCCCCCAAGCACACCCCAGGACACCCCACACCCCAAAGTCCAAGCACAGGGGCAGGAGACACTGCAGCCCCTCAGCACCACTCCAGTGCAAGAACTTCCCTCCCAGGTCAGAGCACACTGGGGAGGCACCGTCTTGCTGCATACCTCCAGTTCCTTGACCTGCTGCATGATGACACTGTGCTCCTCTGCATCCATGCCGAAAGCCTGTGTACATACGAGGTAATGGATGCTGCCCTGTTAACGGTGGCTGTAGAGCAGCCAAAGGCTTCTCTCTGCTCCCTGGGAGCCAGCTGCAGCTCCAGGGGAGAGGAGAGCAGCAAAGAGCCCAGCTGAAGGGCTGGTGATCAGCTGAAAGTTCTTCAGGGAAAGCCTTCTTCCCACCATTCTGAGCCTAAGATAAATATTTCCCCCTAAGGCTACTCTTTCTCAGCCACAAGCTTTCCCAGCCCTCCAGCTAGATGCTGCTGCTATGTCTTTCAAGATGCTTGTTAAAAACTTCCTCCATGTGTTCCCCACCATCCCTTTCCACTGAGAGAATGGACATGTCAGGGGACAGGTTTTGGGGACCCTGTCAGGGAGGTGGGGACTTACCTTTTGCACATAGGCATAGAGCTCCTGGGAATCCATGACATGGTGGTGCTCAGGCTTGCCCAAGCGGTGCTGGATGGTGTAGAGAACCTCCTCATAGAGCAGGGCCAGCTGCAAGGGCGGTACCGACACCTTGCATGGGGCCAGGCCAGCAGGGACTTTCTCCATGTATCTCTCAAGATTAATGGCGTGTCTCCCCTGCCAGCTCCCACTGGCCTCTGCCACCTCCCTCCCAGCATTCAGCCCTGCCTGACCACCATGGGGTGTCCCTGGGGGTATCTTCAGGATCTGAGCCATGTCCCCAAGCTTCTGCAGCACTGCCACCCCCTCCAGTGCCACCAAGGGAGACTGTGGTGAGGCCATGTTTTGTACCTCTCTCTTGGAGAACTGGTGGGACAGATCCATCTAGAGAAAGAAGAGAAGCAGAGAGGTTTCCTGTCAGGTCTCACAGCAGAAGGTGCTTTTAGAAGGAAAGCAGCTGGGGCAGGGCAGGGCAGGGTAGGGCAGCCAGAATGGGGCATCACCTGCAGCCCATTGGGTTGGGATGCCCCAAAGGATGCTGTGACACACTGCAGGGACCCCGTGGCTGAGGGATCACTTCCTTCATCAGGCACTGACAGGGCAGTATGGGCTTTACTCCCAAGCCCTGTTAATTAAGGAGGGGGCAGCAAAGACGGCAACTTGAGGTGACCCATAGGAGGCTTTAAAAGCCAGCCTCCCACCTTTTGCCCCACAGAGCTGTGCGCTGGCCTGGCCAGGCCCATCAGGACCAGGCTGGAGAGAAAAACAGCCAAGTGAGAGGGCAAGTGGGCAAAGCACGGCGAGGAGCTGCAGGTGGGGCAAGACAGCTATAGGCAAGGCGACTCCAAAAAGCCATTGGGATCTGTGACTTGAGTCCCCTTGCCTGAAAGAAAAATGGGTGCTGCTGCAACAGTGCATTGGTACTTCTTGTTGAGCTGAAGGTCCATTCCCCACTTGAAGCATGACTAGCAATAGCATTTGCTTTCCAAAAGGCAGTTAAATTGCACAACATTCCAGTTCCTGTGGTGCTCAGCTCTGGGGCTGACCTGGGGTCCTGCTGCCCACACAGGCCCCGTCATCTTCCACCTCAAATGTCACCTCCCACTCATCTTGTCTCCACATGGACCCATCCAGGAGATCAAACCACCTCTGCAAAAATACCCTATTCCCTGGCAAACCCCATCTCTTAGCCCGTCCTCACCCCCTGTTCCCTCCCCACTGCGGAGGCTGAGGCCATCCTTCTGCTTCTCTAACCACAATCTGGATTCAGCTACTACATGGCTGAGCAATGTATTCCAGGCACGGAGCCTGGCTGGGTGATGTTGACATTGCCACTGCCATGAGCCAGGTGATGCAGCCAGAGGGAAGGGGACTGGTGCCTCTGTGCTACCCGTTATGGCTCCAGGTGCTGGGATCACTGGGAATGCAAGGGGGCAATGCCAAAGAATGTAATGGAAATTTCTGAAATGAGTTTGACCCTTTCTGTGCCAAGGGACATATGTCAAGTACAGCCCCAGTGACGAATAGATGGATAAGCCCTACCTGTGGGTCAGCCCAGGCCCCAAAATGACCTTAGGATCCCCCACAATCCTGAGCTGGAACACTAGCACTCGCTTATGGCAAATCTAAAGCTGGCATAATCCCCCAGCCATCTGGACTAAATTCAACTCTCCCAGCCCCAGCGAGTTTAACCCTTGAGCTACTTCTCTCCCCACCTGCCTCCAGGACCCTTTCTACCACTGGTTGGTGCCAGGGGCTGCAGCAGCCTCTGTGAAAAGGGGAACCTGTTGTACCCAGGAGGGCCCTGCCTGCACCCAGCACCATCCTGCCTGCACCAGGGCATGGCAGGCATTGCCTCATCCCAAATCCTTCAGCATCCCTGTGGGCAGTGCTGCCCCATAAGCAGAGTTGCTAGGGAAAAGGACTTTATTTCCCTGCTACCGTTACTTATCAGCAAGGCACAAGCGTTTGGCCCTTGCCCAGCAGAGGAGTAGCACAAGAGGTCAGGGGGAGGAATCACTGTTGATTTGGCTGGTAGCTCCATGTTGCTCCTTTCTGCCACTGGAGAGAGCTGCTGTGGGATCTGCTTTGTGCTCGCCCATATGTGCATGGGACTGGCTAAAGTAAGGCGAGCCACCAGGATTTGTTTACTGCTACTAATCCCCATGCCAAGGGCCCAGCTCAAATCCACGAACGTTGCTTAAATCTAGGTCTGGATACAGCCACCAGCATCCCCCCTACCTGCCAGCTGTGGCAGTGCCACCAGTGCAGGAGGCCAGCTCAGCTGCAGAGACAGTGACACTTAGAATCATAGGCTGATTCGGGGTGGAAGAGACATTAAAGCTCATCCAATTCCAACTGAGATAAGGAAGTACAAAATGAAATATA